CCTTCGTCGTCGTCTTCGCCGTGGTCCTCGTCGTCGTCCTCGTCCTCGTCGTCGTCCTCGTCGTCGTCCTTGTCGTCGCCATCGTCGTCCTCGTCGTCGTCCTCGTCGGCGTCTTCGTCGACATCGTCGTCGCCCTCGTCGTTTTCGTCGTGGTCCTCGTCGTCGTCGTCCTTGTCGTCCTCGTCGTCGCCCTCGTCGTCGTCATCGTCGTCCTCGTCGTCGTCCTCGTCGGCGTCTTCGTCGGCCTCGTCGTCGTCCTCGTCGTCGTAGTCGTCGTGAGCCTCGTCGTCGTCATCGTCGTCCTCGTCGTCGGCCTCGTCGGTGTCTTCGTCGGCCTCGTCGTCGTCCTCGTCGTCGTATTCGTCGTGGTCCTCGTCGCCGTCGTCCGAGAGGGGGAGAAGGATGAGTCTGTTTTTGTTTCGGCGGAGGCGGGTCAACAGTGGTAGGAAGTTTTCCGCGCCAATCGGTTTATTACAGACATGGCGTTCACCACCAAGGTATCGTCCAACTTTCGAGGGCGCGTCGATCTCCCGTTTCGGACATCCTGGGGACGGCCCCTGTATCATCCACCAGTCTTCCTCCATATGTTGAGAAGGGCCAGACACATTGAAGTTTATGTACATAGGTGATCACAAACAGTTATTTCTCCCAACCCTCCTGTGTTGGGTACTCGTTTTGAATAGAGCACTGCGGTCTCCACCTTCCTTCCTTCCTTCCGTCCTTCCTTCCTTCCTTCATTCCTTCCTTCCTTCCCGCCTCCTCCCGCCTGCGGTCGCCATCCCTGGGTGGCTGCGATCTGTGAAACTGTCGTCACTTTCGAGGGCTGCTGGGGGGCCCAGCGGAGTGACGTCCTACGGGGATTCAGATTAGACCTCGCCATCCCTGGGGGGCTGCGATCTGTGAAACTGTCGCCACTTTCGAGGCCGCTGGGGGGCCCAGCGGAGTGACGCCCTACGGGGATTCAGATTAGACCTCGCCATCCCTGGGGGGGCTGCGATCTGTGAAACTGTCGCCACTTTCGAGGCCTGCTGGGGGGCCCAGCGGAGTGACGTCCTACGGGGATTCAGAATTAGACCTCGCCATCCCTGGGGGGCTGCGATCTGTGAAACTGTCGCCACTTTCGAGGCCGCTGGGGGGCCCAGCGGAGTGACGTCCTACGGGGATTCAGACTAGACCTCGCCATCCCTGGGGGGCTGCGATCTGTGAAACTGCGCCACTTTCGAGGCCTGCTGGGGGCCCAGCGGAGTGACGTCCTACGGGGATTCAGATTAGACCTCGCCATCCCTGGGGGGCTGCGATCTGTGAAACTGTCGCCACTTTCGAGGGCCGCTGGGGGGCCAGCGGAGTGACGTCCCTACGGGGATTCAGATTAGACCTCGCCATCCCTGGGGGGCTGCGATCTGCGAAACTGTCGCCACTTTCGAGGCCTGCTGGGGGGGGGGGGCCAGCGGAGTGACGCCCTACGGGGATTCAGATTAGACCTCGCCATCCCTGGGGGGCTGCGATCTGTGAAACTGTCCCCACTTTCGAGGCCGCTGGGTGGCCCAGTGGAGTGACGTCCTACGGGGATCCAGACTAGACCTCGCCATTCCTGGGGGGCTGCGGTCTGTGAAACTGTCGCCACTTTCGATGGCTGCTGGGGGGCCCAGCGGGGTGACGCCTTACGGGGAGTCAGATTAGACCTCGCCATCCCTGGGGGGCTCCGATCTGTGAAACTGTCGCCACTTTCTAGGGCTGCTGGGGGGCCCAGCGGAGTGACGCCCTACGGGGATTCAGATTAGACCTAGCCATTCGTGGGGGGCTGCGATCTGTGAACCTGTCGCCACTTTCGAGGGCTGCTGGGGGGGCCAGCGGAGTGACGCCCTACGGGGACTCAGATTAGACCTCGCCATCCTTGGGGGGCTGCGATCTGTGAAGCTGTCGCCACTTTCGAGGGCTGCTGGGGGCCCCAGCGGAGTGACGCTCTACGGGGATTCAGATTAGACCTCGCCATCCCTGGGGGGCTGCGATCTGTGAAACTGTCGCCACTTTCGAGGGCTGCTGGGGGGCCCAGCGGAGTGACGCCCTACGGGGATTCAGATTCGACCTCGCAGGCGCTGGGGGGCTACGATCTGTGAAACTGTCGCCACGTTCGAGGGCTGCTGGGGGGCCCAGCACAGTGGGCACCCACGGCGGATTTAAATGTGACCTCGCCACCCTGGGGGGCTGCGATCTGTGAAACTGTCGCCACTTTCGAGGCCTGCTGGGGTGCCCAGCACAGTGGGCACCCACGGCGGATTCAAATGGGACCTCGCCATCCCTGGGGGGCTGCGATCTGTGAAACTGTCGCCACTTCCGAGGGCTGCTGGGGGGGCCAGCACAGTGGGTACTCACGGCGGATTCAAATAGGACCTCGCCATCCCTGGGGGGCTGCGATCTGTGAAACTGTTGCCACTTTCGATGGCTTCTGGGGGGCCCAGCACAGTGGGTACTCACGGCGGGTTCAAATGGGACCTCGCCA